ATAAGACAACCAGTATTCTACCTGGAAAGGTTAATATCTGCATCTTATAAGTTTCATGCCGTTGGAACATACAGGAAGCCTAGTCTTCGCTCTCTTCTGAAGAGGAAGAAAAGTGTGTTCTGGTGAAACACTTGACTCTGTAAACCACTCGACTAAACGTGGTTAAGCAGCCCGTTTCCTTCAAAAGTATGGCAGTTCTCAACGGCAAAAAAATGAAAAAACAGTCAGTACCGAAAAAGACCCGTTTTACAATTCTTGTTCTTCAAGAGACACTATGTTTCAAGCATGATCAAGCGGCAGTTGGTATGCACGACTGAAATGGCTTCTAATGCAACCGAATGCATATTTAGCGGTCCTACAAATGCTCATCCAAGTAAAGGAACCATTAATGTCTCGTTAATGTACGCCACCTCAAACTATGTTTATAACTTTACAGTGCGTTACCCAATTCATGAAAGGTGTCGAAATTTACGAATAATTGTCAATCACTCGCAAACCGAAGCCATTTCATGAGTCCAATGTCTATGTTAATCAAGTAAGAGTTTAAAAGAATTCAAAACATAAAAGAAATATTGGAGGCAGCGTTGCGTTGTTTAGAAATGCCGATTTTTTTAGAAAAGCGCAATATCCCGAAAACGTCCGAAATGGCTCTAATTTAGTAAACTTCGTTTTTAGATGTATAGAATGTATTCTCATGCCGCAAACGTAGTAAATATGAAAGCACAAATGAAATAAAGTTTAATTATAAGGTTTCAATGAAGTTTACATCTAAATACCGTTTAAGAATTAGTATAATTTTGTACATGGCGGTTTGTCAACTGTCTACATACTGAGTGTAGATTCCAAAACAGTTTTCCGGAGATTTATACTATTCTGGACTCGTTTGAGTTAAATGAGATGGGGTTCGACAAGGGAAACTGGATTTTGCTTGATTTCACCGATGGAGACCTCGTGGGAACAAAAGTTTTCGTAGGGTGACATGCTGTGAGGCCGGTCGGTGCCTAGTAAATTTAAATAGAACTGACAGGCGTGGTCGTAAACATACTATTTCGTGTTTATAGAGAGGACTTTTCTTCCGTTGAATTAATTTACACTTTCCGCACCAAATCGCACAGATCTGTTAATTTGACATTTAGGAATTGATAAAAACTCGGGTTTTCTTAAAATAACCTTTCTGTTAGCAGGTTGATTACCACGGTTAACATTGGACAGAAAATAAACTTCCAGTTTCGACCAAATCTGTTTATTAAAACTGTCGCGGGCAAATTATTATCCTTTCACTGAAAAAGTCGCTCAGCTGTGCAACCTGAGTCTAGGACATGTATTAGCATAGGAAATTGCACGAATATTTTCCATCGTCCATTTTCGCTAAAATTTACTGATATTTTACTTGATATAATTACGTAAACACAATTTCCACACAAGAAAAGGACATTTTATTGAACGAAATGAATGAGCGAACTAAATGCGCAACATTAAAGACATCCAGAAATTCTCCTATCAGTTTCTTCTATCAGATTTCATGAGATAGGTCACGTACTGTACATACCTGTGGACAAACGGAACTGGCTGCCAAGTTGGTTGAGCACTTGCTCTAATAATCTCCTTTAATTTGCACATCCCCTTTTGCGTGTTTACTTTTAGCTTCGTGGGTAGGTCAATTCAATCTGCTTTCTGGAGGCCTGTTTTGTGGTTGGACAGTAGTCATTCACTAGTTCCAACCGCAATCGATGTGCGAAGCCTCTTTTTGCTGGTATGAATTTGAAACAAACATGAACAGCAGGATTTGTTGCTGCCAGACAATTTTCTGAATGCTTAGCAACTGTTGCTTGTTTGTTCGTAACACAGATAGTGATTTTCCTTTCCCGGACCCCTTAAGACATAGACAGGCAAATAGTTTAATAAAATGACCAGGTTCCTATGAGAATACGTGGAAGGGTCAGCATCAACATTTCATGAGATTCGTGTCGGTATAACGAAAAAGGAAACCTTGTCTACACCCCCCCTCGAACAGAAAGAAAACTGCACAGAAGCAGACGTCTTTTTTGTTTACGAAAATCACCGCTTGTGCGCAACTGCACATGCGCACCACAGGTGGTTCTTTGTAATCTCCGGCACTAAACCGAGTTCCTTCTTGCAGTGAAAAAAAAACATTTTTTGAATTTCCACTTTCGTCTGCTCTCCTGACACCATGTTATTTTCGGAAATTGTGCAAATTTTTAAAAAAAAATATGATCCAGCGACCCCAACAATGTTTCAGCTCCGATCCTTTTGGATGCCGTGCAGAAATCGTAATCGATTTCACAATTGGCGCGCCATTCGTGCAGACAAGGGCCTCAGTAGATGCCATCAAAATCTAACACCCGCTGAACGTCAACAAAAAATAAGGTTAGTAACAAGTTGGGGGTCTTCGGTTCTGCTGAAGTATTCTGCTTAATCATCAATCGACCATGGAAATGCCCGCGACCAACAGGTTTGACATTCCATCGTTACGATTTAATGAGCGAACCTCAGATGACAACAACCGGTGGAATTTGAAGCAATAATTCCCCGGAATGAATTTAAAGCAAGCACAGACAGCGGAATATGTTCGAACCAATAAATTTAGAAGGGGAATAAAATTCCATGGTCTTGATCCACAAAGCACCTCCTTGATAGCGGTCATTCAGCTGATCCCAAAACACTTTTTCAAGTATTAGTTTGAGCACGAACAACTCGGTTACTGCACTACTTGGAGGCAGCCTGCATTTGGCGGGAGAAACCCGACCTATGTAAACAGTTAGACCTCGTGAGCAACCTCAGCTTGTCCTGGTAAATCTGAGCCCTTTTGATTTTCGCAATCCCTCGACGTCACTGCTCCCGATCCCTCCTCCGATCAGCCTGACTCAGTTTTGTAGCCAGGCCCATGAGGGTGAGGGGGGAGAGGGTGTGACAGATGCTGAGCAAGTCCGCCATCTCGAAACCCGCAGATACTGTTAATTGCGTCGCGGGAGGCTCCACGAGACTCGGTGTAGGAGATTTTGTACTTACGTGAAGAATAATTTTATAGGATACTCCCTCCTAGCAGGGAGGTAGAACTCACTCTGATCACTGAAGTCAGCTGACCCGAACATCTAAGCACGGGCATAAGCGCAGACAAACAACCAATATCAGACAAATACTACATTTCAACGGCAACCGACACCTACCTGACAAAAGCACCTGTGGCCGTGCTCTATCGCGAAGGATTGAAACGCATTGTGGTACGGCAACCGACAAAAGAACTAAACGACTATACCGCAAAGGCATCATCAACTTCAACGGAAAAGGAGGCAATTTCATTGAGCAAAGTGCGTGCCGAACGAGCGGACGACGTCCAAGCGGACATCAGTCCGGAATCTGGCGAACAACTTACCTGCGTCGCGGAGAGTCAGAAGCGATCTTTGAATCGTCACAACTCACGCAGGCGGGGCTCGACATGACCCGTTGAGCGCCTGTCGCCATGTGGTGCAACCTAAGGACACGCTGCCGCTCACATAAACATAGGCGTTTGTCGACAAAGTACGTTTCAGCGGTGGAGATTGCAATTACGCCTACACAGGCACAGACTGGTAACTCGAAGGCAGTATCCAAACTCTTAACTTGCAGTACCCGCTGAAGAAGCTGGTCGTGCTTCCTGCCTTCTAGGAGTACGCAGCCTCGGCTGAGGCAGGCCACGCTAGATGACGACTCAATCGGCAGACGTACTGACCTCCCTCCAGAATACATGGTCTTACATCGTTATTTAAGGATAGACCAGGAGAAGGTGGCTACAGTAGACTTACGAAAACTGTTCTGACAGAAAACCCACCTCTCCGGAAAAGAGAGGAGCTACCAGATCAAAAAGGCCCCGCAGAGCCACAACCGCCCCGTTGAGATGATAATTAGCAGCATGGGCAGTTCTGGAACCTTCAGACACTCATCAAAAGGCCGATCAGCTCGACAGATCACCTGAGCTCCTGTTCGACTTTATGCATTAGGCATCTTGACAATAGAGAATCGACCAAATCCTTCGAAAGGTCATCAGTCTGGGGAAAACGAGTGGGGCGACGGGAAGGAGGTGGAGAAGAAGATGACGAAGGAGGAGAATAGGCAGAAGAATAGACGGAGATAGAGGTAGAAGAGGTAGGATGAGGAGAATGAGTATGGTTGTTGTAATTGGTATTGTTGTTGTTTCGATTTTGATTGTTTCGACCGTGTTGATGGCATCTGCGGCCTTGGCTGGCCTGCAGACGGCGTGGTGCCCAGCATTTTTTAGACCACCTTTTCTAGGCCCTTCCCCTTGCGGGGGCAGGCAGTGCCGTCCCTGAATCGGGCTGCCCATGTGCCTGGTTGGCGCGACCGAATCCCACTATGGGGCCACGACTTTTATGTTCGTAGTGGAGAACGACCGCATGTGCCGTGAGTCCGCGGTCTCCGTCGGCGGGGGTGGGCGCGTCTCAGCGAAGGCGATGCAGAGACCCGTCCCGGCAGCAGTTATCCAACGGCGTACCAGGCAGAGCCTCGTCTCGACGATGCCGGCGCAGTGTTTCATCCGACCATCCATCCGGCGGAGTCCGCGGTACGCTGTGCGCTCGGCACAAGTGCACAGCGCCCTCACCTGGTTTAGCCCGCCGGTCGAGACGGTTGCCCGGGGTGTGGCCGCTGAGCAGAGCCCAGCTACGTGGAGCCACAGGTGAGAGTTGGGTGCCAGCAAATGGACGCTAGGTGTAGTCCCACCTGCAAGCAAGTGAGCGACCACTACGACCGTCACGTGAACCCACCGCTGGTCACCCCTACACCCCGTCCACCACCACCACCACCACCACCACCACCACCACCACCACCACCACCGCCATCACACAAGATCGGTTTTCGTAGCATTTGTGAGTAATTGTCATAATCACCTTCTGTGCCTCCATCCGACTTTTGTTTTGGAACGGCCTGTAAGGAATCATCTCAGATCGCTTTAAGAAAGGTCTTGCCTGTGTTGCTTAGCCTGAACCTCAGGTGACTGACGATACTTCGCACACCCTGATGCCAAAAAAGTATGGTATGTTTGATATAAATTCTTTCCACGGATGGAAGCGAATATGGGGATCCCAGGTTCTTTTGTAAAGAAGGTGAATACACGATCTCTGAGACAGTAGGTGTATTAGTCTGAGCTTTCGGTCTCGTACAGGAGGCCATCGTCAGAGACTGTGAGAATGCGACATCAAATGAGCAGTTTTTGTAGTCGCATTCTCACAGTCTCTGACGATGGCCTCCTGTACGAGACCGAAAGCTCGGACTAATACACCTACTGTCCCAGCGATCGTGTGGTCATCTTCTTTACATCAAGTCTTATGAAATCTTTCCGTTATGCGTGTAAATTTGCATTTGTCAATGTCCCTTCGGCCGTTTTTTTTAGCGGTGAGGGAATTTTCCCCTCCGACCCTACTTGCTGATTTTTTATCGACCTGTTCCCGTTCCTTTTGGCTTACTACAGCGAGTCGACTCGTCCCAACGACATTTGTGGCGCACTACAGACTACCAATAACGCTTCTGCCACCCCAGCTCGTTAACCCTAACATTTGTGAGATGAGGCCGGCAGGAAATCATCTAGCGATTGACGACATTCTCGCCCCACCAACAGTGATCTCTGTAGGCAGAATGGCAGTGCGGAGAAATGACGCCAGCTCTCAAGTTGCGGCTCATTCGACGGGTTCCGGCCACACATTCAAATTTGAAGAGGCCGAAATTCTCGCAAGAGGTGACAACCGCGTGAGCCGGGAGCTGCTTGAGTCATGGTTCACTGGCCCCCAGTCTATTAACAAGTGCAATGGTCTTCCCATTCAATACAGCGTGCTGAGACTTCGTCTAGGCGGAGAAATTGGCCACGCGGGGAGCGCCCTGATGAACACTCTTCCCAACACCCGGGTCAGCGCGTCAGATGGTCGAGCAATCATCACACCAACATCCAACGCACGTGATGAAATTGCTGCAATTAACGAGGCGAATATCGACCATCACGCCACGTGCAATGATCCTTGATGAAGGCGAGGGAGCCGTGAATATTCATAGGTATGCGGTGGCATGGCTACTGCATCTTATAAATACTGCAGCCGCATGTGCATGAACCACCCTTATCTGCTTATGTCTCTGATGATGGATTCGAGCAGGAATCCGAAACGTTAGGCTAATAAAGCTCTTGTCCCGGCGATCGTGTCTTCTTCTTCAAGAATGGCTTCTGCCACCCCGTCTCGTTACCCCTTTTTCTCCGGCTCCGTTTTGTCGAACGATGGCCGCAACAGCTGTTGACCACCCCCGCCGGCTAACACTAGGACACCTTCGGTCTAACTACATAGTGACACTCGGCTGACCTCACAAACTTTCATCACCTCACGCGCGTCGGACGACCTGGCTTGTACGCGTGAGGCATTGTGTGCATGCGCCCTCCATTCCTCCCCTAATTTGTCCAATCACACGACCAACACTCAGCCAGCCACCCCCTCCCTCCTGCTGACACAGACACTCACACCCGCGTAAACACTACATCGCGACTGGCACTCTCCGTGAACGGACGCCTATCTCTGCCGCAAGCAAAGAGCCGACTTACGGCAACCTGCCCTGTGTACAGAATAAACTAGTCCTCACAACTCCCTGACTTCTGACATTAGACGAATCGAAAGTAATGTGCGTGGTTTAGTTTGGTCTCACATCCTTGACCACTACAAGACTACAAATAATGCTTCTGCCTCCCCCGCACGTTACCCCTCACATTTGTGAGATCAGGCCTACAGGAGATCATCAAGCGATTTACGACATTCTCGCTCCACTAACAGTGATCTCCAAGTCTTTTAGAAGCCCTTTGATCAGGCCTTTGAGTTACCATTGGAAACAGTTCTACCATTAAATAGCTGTCAGTGAATGCTCGGGCTAAGAGGTCAACTTACTTGGGATGCCGCCCATTAAACTCATGTCGTTCTGATACTGTGATGTTATTCTGTTGTGACGTCAATTGTGGTTCCCTTGAGTTTAATCTGTTTTGACAGTTACGTTTCTTTTACACCGGACGGTCAGATGTGGTTATGCAGTCCCGCCTGAAGTGGTGACGGTGGCGGTAATCCGTTTTACTTTTTGTAAATACTACGGAGAGGGAATGGCAAATCGGGGTCGCGACAACTGGTTCAGTGACCTGGAGAAGGGGTGGATGTGCATGCAACAGAACGGAAAGATTTTGTATCAAACACAGCCTACCTTTTTCGCATCAGGGTGTACGAAGTATCGTCAGTCATATGAAGTTCAGGCTAAGCAAAACAGGCAAGACCTTTCTTAATACGACCTGAGATGGATCCTTACAGGCCTTTGCAATAACGAAAGTCGGGCGGAGGCACAGAAGCTTACTATGGCAATTACTCACAAATGTTACGAAAACCGATCTTGTGCGCGCAGAAGTGCCACGTACAGGCTCCGCACCTGCCGTGGTCAAAAGTCCACTGACCATGCAACTCTCCACGCGCTTCCGCCCTCACCCCACCCCTGGTACTGGCTGTTAATACCCCCCCCCCGCCCCACATATTTCCACATCTCACCTGTGTTTTAGGACGAACCTTGGTCGATTTCTCTAATAACTGATATGTTTTTCTTCTACCCCGACCCATATAAATGTACTGGCCTGACGAGAACTTATAGAAGGCCAACGTGTGCTACCCACCTGGCCTTCTGTGTGTTTGTTCACTTTTACTTGCAACGACAACGACCCCAGGAGGCTTTAGACACAATTCTCACAGACACACCATAAAGAGTCGCGTAGCCGGACAGTATTTATCGGTCGGTAAGTGTTCGGGCTAAGAGGTCAACTTACTTGGGATCCCGCCCATTAAACTCATGTCGTTCTGATACTTTGCTGTCATTCTGTTGTGACGTCAATTGTGGTTCCCTTAAGTTTAATCTGCTTTGTTTTATATGTCCCACGCCCTCGTATTTGACAGTTACGTTTCTTTTCTACTCACCGGACGCTCAGATGTGGTTATGCAGTCCCGACTGAAGTGGTGGCGGTGGTGGTAATCCGTTTTACTTTTTGTAAATACTACGGAGAGGGAATGGCAACTCGGGGTCGAGACAACTGGTTCAGTGACCTGGAGAAGGGATGGATGTGCATGCATGTATGATATAGGCAGTGTGTTATTACCGACAACAGGTTATGAGTTTGAGCCTCGGGTGTTCTACACTTCGAGTTTGGGTATGGCTGGATGACGACGTCTTATAAGTCAAAATGGCCATTCCAGTCTCCCTAGTCTTTGTCGGTAATAACATACTGCCTATATATCATGCGCCGCTGTGTGACTGCTGGTTGGGCTCGAGAGAGAGAGAGAGCCCGCAAGTCACAACGGAACGAGTGAGTTCCGCGAGAACGATCGGTGAGCGTCCCCTTACCAATGTTTATTATGTACGGAAATCGCAATAATTGATGGATCGCCTCAGCTACTGCAAACCTTTAATTGCTTCACTTCGTGGTTTAAAGGGCCTTCCTTGTCGAACCCCCTGCAAAGACAGGTTGTTTCTCTTGTCAAATGAATTCCAAGCTGTCGCCATAGTTAGTATTGATGGTTCGATGAGGTTCTCGCCCACCGACACAAAGAATACTGTGGTATGGCCAGACCGACGTCCCTGACTGGGTGCAGTTTTCACTTCAGAGGAATGCAGTCCCTGATGCACGCCATGAGGCAACTGAAGGTAGAAAGGAATTGCAGTCAGGGAGAAAAACAAGCCGCGCTCAGAGAATCCATTCCTTCGTCTCTGACGGACCGGTGAGCTGAGAGTCAGGCTGCAATGACTCCTTTCCAAAGTGACCTCTGGCACTCTAACGCATGTGCATGTGCATGTGCTTTATGGGTAGTGCTTCTCAGTCGATGACTGATTGGTTTCCCAGCCGTTGAAGGATGATGGTCCAGGTAAATGCAGGGCCACGTGTCACCCTTCTGGGCCTTAAGATTTGTGAGCGTCTGATATGTCATGATTCAGCAAACCATGATCGTCGCAGTGTGGCGTGTGCTGGAAGTTCTCCGGTACGTGGTTTTCTGGCGGTAGACGTGCTTGCGTTCTCGCTAGGTATACAAATCGTGAACATGGCTGCCCAGTCACCATCCTCTTTTTGACCCGCTGTTGTGTTGATGATGATGATGATGATGATGACGACGACGACGACGACGACGACGACGACGACGACGATGATGATGAGTATGATGATGAGTATGATGATGATGATGATGACGACGACGACGATGATGATGATGATGATGATGATGATGATGATGATGATGATGATGATGATGATGATGATGATGATGATGATGATGATGATGATGATGATGATGATGATGATGATGATGATGATGATGATGATGATGATGATGATGATGATGATGATGATGATGATCCACCACTAAATCCCCTGTTTTGAATGCTGTTTCACGTGCCAAGATGAAATACGCAATCTTTCTGGATCGACAACACTGGCTTTTACATCCGACAGGTTTAATCTCAATGCAGAGCTAGGATAATTCTTCAAGGTTCAAAACGACTATCACTTTCCGTAGCGCCGACCCCCCTGTAGCCCTTAGGAAGAATGAGCAACGTTCAGGTCAGACGGGTTCATGCGAGTCAACCACCTGATTAATGGACTCTGTTATCTGTCCGCAGAGGAACTTTATTCAGCGCACGCACAGTCCACTGATCATGAGTTGTATTTCTCAACACACAGCCATAGATGAAACAAAACACTGCGCGATAAAAGATCAACAAATTGCCTCCCTTCCCATTCATAAGAAATGCAAGAAATCCTGGTACACGGTCTTTCCCCGAACAAATTACGCCGGCGAAAGTTCGAGTATAAAGCACGCTTTAGAACCCCGGGTGCCGACTCGATCAACCTCGAGGACGTTGCTGAGGCAGTCCCAACACAAATCAAGGAATTTTAAGAGATTAAGAACCTCCTTCGGCAGCACTTTATCTCTTTAGTACTGTCGCCCAAACCATGCGTCATCAGACTCAGCGTAGAAATATATGCTTGTCAGGACTTGAAGACTGACGGAACCAGTAACCGTCTCTGGTTTATTTACCGGCACTAGTCAACGATCTTCCAACCAGGGCTGCATGGCCACGGATTGAACTCGAGTGGTGTTGGACAAAGCTAACTACCTGATAGGGAATAAATGCAGAGGCTGGTAAACAAAATGTATCCAACCCTCACAGATTTATACGACGAAGCTCTAAAATCTGCCTTATAAAGAGCCGTCATATCAACAAGTACGATTATGCATGGCTCTCCGGACTGTCCAGAGTTCACGAAGCTGGTACGCTCCTCCTCCCCCCCCCCAACCCCCTTGTTTCCTTGCTTGACACCCACCAACATAAAAGCTGACTGATTGACTTTTTCAAAGTCCGAAATTTCTGACCCCAAATTTGGGCATAACTGTTATCTCAGCCGAGCAGTTCCTGGGGCAGGTCGGATTCTGCGTACCAAATTCGTGGCGTCTCCTGATGTCGGATTAATTTTCACCCCCATTTCGCAGAATCTGGCAATCACAGACATAAGAGATGTGTCGCAGAGCGAATATGACAGGGCGGACGAGTCACTGAAGCGCGGACATCTCACTCAGCTACTCGGATTTTTACATGAGTTAGTATTTTTGATTCGATGGGACTGTCTATGAGCATACCAAAGACGCTGCACTGAAGTCGCTGTTCTCTAGACCCATCGCTGAGCCATTCGGAATAATTGCTGTTTGGAACCTACCAACCGGAAGGTTTAGTTCTGTGTAGTGATGATGTTTTAGCCACCAAGGTAGACATTATTGCACTAAATCCCAAATGCAGGTTCTCGAACATTCAGTACACGATGGAAGAGTATCAGAAGGAGAAAAAGAAGAAGAAGGTGGATGTGTGGGAGAAGAAGAAGGGGGCGACAGAGAAGGGAGGGAGGGAGGGATGGAGGGGAAGGGGGTTTTACAGGTGGGGCCGGGGAACGCACAGACGACGAGATCAAGTAATTGTATGCAGGCGAAAAGCTATTGGGAATGCGCGGTTGTAGATGAGGCGTAGGGAATTAGCTGCCCTAACCATAACCCCAACCCTAACTCCTTATCCTAACCCCTAACTATAACCCCTGACCGTAACCCCAACAGTACTGTGTACGCCAAATGCGGCTTCAGCACCATATCTTACCTACCAATGTCTGAATGCCTCTCGCTGCACTGTGCCCACTTATGTGGACACACTTAGACCAAAAGAGCCCCAGACCACCCCCTGGGTCGATTTGTCACGACAGACCGGGCTCGACTGTGGGAATAACTTTTGATTAACAGTCAGTCCCGAAAACCGTTAAATACAGTGGAGCATAGTATCATCCAGCAATGGAGGCTTGTTTGCTTTCGGAAGATAGAGACAATAAATTTTCAGCCGCAGAGGTTCACTCTCCACCTCCTTTATGTCCGCAAACGCGTGTCCTTACCTCTACAACTTACCTCTCATTCAGCTGCATAGTTATATGACAAGGCAAACTGTTCAATCAACGATTGACCTAGAGAGATAAAACGTGATAGGTAACATGAAGCAGGGGCCTAGTATGCGGGTGCGCATGGCGGGGGGGGGAAGAGGAAGAGGAACCCAGACCTCTGTAAGCAGTTGGAACACGTGATAAACCTGACACTACCATGGTAAGGATCGATAATGGACGACACCGTGTTCCCATATACGTCCTCTCGTTTTGCCCCTACCCTCCCCCTCCCCCTGCCCGGCATGACTGAATGCTGCCCGCGCCTGATAAGTTCTCACTGTAATCCTAACTCGCATGCTTGGATGACTTCTCTCCCCCTTCCCCCCCCCCCTTCGCCATGCACACCCGCATACTAGACCCCTGTTTCATGCCACCTATCACGTTTTATCTCTCTAGGTCTTTCGTCGATTGAACGGTTTGTCTTGACCGTGTGCAGCTGAATGAGAGCTCTCGAAATTTATGATGTCAGTAAATTCTGCGTGCTTTGTCGCCTTTGCCTTATTCAAACTTACCTCTGCCTGTAATCCCTCGTCCAGCATGAACGACTGCTTGAATGCAATCTGGAAGGTTGACTCGATGTGTAACTGCCTGCTTCTGGAGTTTATTCCTTGTTCTGTCGAGAAGTATGCCTTGAGGAGCCGTAGTACTCTGACTTCGGTGAAGAGTCTAGGGCGTGGAGGGCGGGAGGAGTTAGTTCTGTAAGTGCACTCCTTCTGCAAACTGAATGCTCGCTGTTTTTTTTTCTGCAAATAACACCCAACATCGAGGTACTGCGTGGCTTTCCTCGGTCAACACGTGAGTAACTCTCTGCCAGTGATTCTGGTGTCACCTGTTTGTCACTCACTCGCACCATGCGTGTACGCACCCAATTCTGACTCTGGTTACCTGCACCGACAACGGGTTATTGGAGGATCACATTTTGATCACGACGTACCTAGATGATCTTCTAGCGACTGCTGACACCTGTGTACGATTAACCGCAGCTGGTCTCAAGGTTGCTGACCTCGAGGCAATTGCTGTTTTGGTAGGACCGCTCTTATGCCCTGCTGTAGGACTGGTAGCTGTTTTTGTTTTTTTTTTCAAAAAGCTAGTCCTCCTCCTGACCACATTGACCGACAAGGCTACTGAGTGTTCCATAACAGGGTGGCAGGAGGAACGGTGGCTTGTGTGAGAGTTAGTTTATGGTGGTAGGAGGCTTGCGCTGCACTTACTGCACTCTCTCCTCCTCCCCCACCCGGCCCAGATGTCGAGGCAGAGTCAAGAAGACCTGAAGTAGGAGAGAGCACAGGTGGCTGGCGCGACCGGACGCGCATCTAGGCGTACCATCAGGCCCCCTGGTCCACAACGTACACTAACCACGATTTTGTACAACAGGAGAACTGGGAGGCGGATCGGATCCAACTGGCGCGTCGCGAGCTCGAACCTGCACGTACCACCACACCCCCTAATGTTATAGGCGCGCATGCCTGACAATTCCTCACGGGGACTCCGATCTAGCCCCCGTGTTGGTCTGAGGAATTTGCCGCGGAGCCCGTTTTAGGGGCATAAGTCGCCCGCTCCACAGCCAATACAATCCCTGGTGTCAGTTTTTTAAGGTACCTGGTAGAAAGAGACGCGGCTGGGGCAAAAGTCGATAAATTATAAGTGGAAAGGTGACTTTACTAACGCCCAGGTGTGGCCGTGCAACCGCAAGGTCACATTCGGCAAGACGACAAGGATGCCCTTTGTCAGTAGCTGCTTCAAGACTGCCCTTGGATGCTTTCAGTCAGTGAAACTCTTTCTCGAGTTTAAAAAATGTGTCCCAGTTTTGCCTATGTTCAGTTTTTCCTGACCTGAAACCATCTTTCTTTTGAACTTCGCTACTTTGCATAAAATCAGTAGTTTCTTGAGGTTTCTGGGGGACTGCCATGATTGCAACTGTGCGGCAGGCTGTAATTACGATGAGATGTCATCTGGCCCCACGCATGCGAAAATCCGCGTCTCATTTAACGTTCACATTTTTTCAGCTTTTCTTGCTGTGCAAGCAGTTTGGATACTCGCTCAAACATCATGTGGCCAATCAATCAGTACGATTAATTGCCGGGTGTTATTCAGGAGGCCTCTTGGAGACGTCAAATTGTCAAGGTGGGATTCGTCATTCGCAAACGAACTTAACTAACCTTGCGTTGTGAGGGGGATGGCGGAAGAGGTGTTTGCATTTATCCAGAAGGTACGAACCAGATGAACACGATTCGAGGAAGTAAAGACTTGTTGGCAAGCATACGTTTGCTCTCGTTAAATTCTCGTCAGGTACGGGGTACAGTCAGAGATGTCAGTGATTAGAAAGATAGATTAAAGTTCGTTTTAAAAAACAGGCGGAGCTGAGGACGGGAGGGGGCAGAAAGTTGCATGTGGTTAGTCGACCTTTGACCACGGTAAGCGCGGAGCCTGAACAAAATTCTGCTGCGCACACAAAACCAGTTTACGCAACCTGATTGAGGCCGCTTCTGCCGTTGCTAACGGGTTCTGGCCCAGTGGTTTAGGTTAGCGCGTGGCGACCTTAAATAAATCACACGAAAGACCTTGCTGGGATCCACAGGATACACAGAATCAGCAAAATGTGCGAGAATGGCGCTGTTCAGACTCCTAGTTTCGTCTTTTCCCAACCACGCGGGAAGGTGTTCTCCTTTGGATGGGCGCGGACTCGTGCGACCAATATAACCTGCTCCACAGAAGCAAGTGAAGGAATAGATGCACATTGAGGTAGTGTGAGATGTCAACCTATCCTTACTTTCACCGCGTAAGAAAAGGTTGCTAGAAAATAATATTCGAACCCTTGCTGTTGGGTAGGTTCGTGAGACAGCTAGATCAAGGCGTCTCCTTAGGAATTCACTCGCAGGGTCTCCTTGAAAAGGGACTTTGAGGTA